TGGTTGCAAAAGCCATTTAAGAAGTGGTCATTTTCACTATAAAAGTTGTAAATATCACTGTGTGTTTTGTAAAATTCAGCGTCAAATTTTATTAATTTTTAGAAACAAGTTGCTCATCCCCTGAAAAGAGGTTGCAAAACTCATTTAAGAAATGGTCATTTTCACTATAAAAGTTGTAAATATCACTGTGTGTTTTGTAAAATTCAGCGTCAAATTTTATTGATTTTTAGAAACAAGTTGCTCATCCCCTGAAAAGAGGTTGCAAAACTCATTTAAGAAGTGGTAATTTTCACTACAAAAGTTGTAAATATCACTGTGTGTTTTGTAAAATTCAGCATGGAATTTTATTGGTTTTTAGAAACAAGTTGCTCATCTCCTGAAAAGAGGTTGCAAAACTCATTTAAGAAGTGGTAATTTTTACTACAAAAGTTGTAAATATCACTGTGTGTTTTGTAAAATTCAGCATGGAATTTTATTGGTTTTTAAAAACAAGTTGCTCATCCCCTGAAAAGAGGTTGCAAAACTCATTTAAGAAGTGGTAATTTTCACTACAAAAGTTGTAAATATCACTCTCTGTTTTGTAAAATTCAGCATGGAATTTTATTGGTTTTTAGAAACAAGTTGCCAATTCCTTGAAAAGAGGTTGCAAAACTCATTTAAGAAGTGGTAATTTTCACTACGAAAGTTGTAAATCTCACTATGTGTTTTGTCAAATTTAGTAGGAAATTTTATTAGTTTTTAGAAACAAGCTGCCCATCCCCTGAAAACAAGTTACAAAACCCATTGAATAAGTGGTCATTTTTACTACGGAAGTTGTAAATCCCACTATACGTTTTGTCAAATTTAGCGTAAAATTTTATTAGTTTTTACAAACAAGTTGTTTATCTCCTGAAAACAGGTTGCAAAACCTATTAACAAAGTAGTCACTTTCACTACAAAAGTTGTAAATCACAATATGTATTTTGTAAAATTCATAATTAACTACAGGTATAGTGAAATTTACCATTCACGTAATGGGATTTACTAAAAACCAGCAGGCATATGACAGCAGTTACGTTACGTAATTGCTTGCTGATTTCTGCTTCGGTTCACTCCCTCTTTCACTACAAATCCTCTTTCCCACAACCAAAATCAACAATCTCTACAGAATGGTGATGCGAAGGAGTAAGATAATAGCATTTCCAACATTCTTCTTTCCTTCTTCCCGCATTTCATCAGCATCGGTCTTCCTCTCTCCTTTTTCTCACTGCGTTGGTCTTCCTCTCTCCTTTCTCTCACTTTTAGCTTTCGGTCTTCCCGCATTCATCAGGGCATTTTGGTCTTTTGGCCGAAAATATGAATTCCAGATTGGTACCCAGTGCCTTATTTGTCATTTTGCTTATTCAGGTCCCTTATCTGTCTTTTTAGAATTCAAGTGGTATTTTATTGTCATTTTCCCAATTTAAAATCTAATAATTTCAATTTTTTTTTGCCGTGACATTCTCCCATTCATCATCATCTAAGCCCCCGGATGCATATATTTCTGTCTTGTCTTGTCGAGCATAATGCAGAGAGTAGGAAGAGGTCGCGTGATAGGTTAAAACTTAGATGCGATGCGTTGATTAATTAAATGTGAGAAGAAAAAAAGATTTGTTTACATCATTTTCGATAAAACCAGACAAGCTTACAATGACTAATACTACTTCCAATCCTTAATATAAGATCTATTTGACTAATTTAAAAAGATTAAAAAAGTTAATTACGTTGATTATTTATAATAAATTAATATTATCTTTTCTAAAATATTTTTATTAGTCATGTGTTTAAATTACAAATTGATAGTAACTCTATGACATATGCAACCACTATAGGAATTACTATAGGGCAAAATAATTGAAATCTTATATTTAGAACTAAAATAAAAAAATTAAACTAGCTCTTGTATTAGAGACTGGAGGTAGTATTGTGTTGCACTGCATTTCAATCTATTATAGCCGCATGCACTCCTTAAACTTCGATCATTTGGGATCAAACTGCCTAGGTCTTTAGGGGTTTTGTGGATGTATATAAAAGAAAGAAAAATAGCGACTGAAGTGGGATGGGCACTGTGCAGCTCTATTTTTTTTTTTTTCCTAAGCATATATATCTTTTTTATTATGGGTAATTTTATTTTAGGTACGGTTGAGTTTTTTTCTTTCTTTTTTTTGGGAGGCACAGGTATTTTCTTATTGAAGACAATCATGTTTGAAGTACTATCGAGCACTAAATGTGGGCACCTCTTATAGTAAGGATTCAAACCTTGATTCATCATATTATGAGAGAATAACTTTTTTTACTAGACACAACCCTGACAGGTATAATCAAGTACTCCTCCGGTCCTTAATATAAGGCCCAATTAGTGAGTTGATTTTGATCCTAAATATAAGAACCATTTTTCATATTTATCAATTATTTCTAAATTACCCTTATGGATACTCTTTCAACCATAATCAAGTAGAAGAGAAAGATGGGGTATTAAGAAATATGATTATGATATTTGAGGAAAAACGTGTCATATTTCTTATAATTAACTAACTTACCTAACTTCCTTAATCTAATCAAATTAGTTAAATGGGTCTTATATTAAAGACAGGAGGAGTATTAAATATGAAGGTATGAAATTAAATGAAATTAAATATGCTGCGCCAATACTCGAAAACATATGCCGCACCCCAAGTTTATAAGCCCAGTGGAAGCCACAATGTTTTGGGGTCTAACGTTTTTTGTTGGACCCATGACATAACCGAGTATTAAAAATGGAAGTATCAAATTAAATAGGCCGCGCCTTCACTGGAAAAGATATGCTGCACCCCAAGTTTATAGGCCCAATGGAAGCCACCATGGCTATCAACGCCGGCCTTCAAGTTCAAACTCTTTTATTGGTGAGCTCTGGAAAGGCCTTTTCATTTTTATTTTGTAAAATTCAAAACAGAGATGAAAATGGGAAATTACTAGATGGACCTTGAATGAGACTGGAAGGGGGGGATGAGAAGTGGAGAATAACACGAAACCTCATCGGACGTGGAGAGAGACAGGGAGGAGCGTGCGGGTGGAGATCACGTGGGAGGATGGTGACCAGAGTCGACGTCATCGCCGTGCCCAATTCGTAAAAGCAACCACCCCCCCCTCTGTCAGCTCATCACGCACACTCCTCGTGCTTGCTTGTTTGCGTTCCTCTCTCTCCCATTCAATTCGGTCTCTCCCTCTGTTTATCTTTATGTTTTAAAATTATTGAGAACATTTAAGAACATGACATATATATTATTAAATTTACTTCGCATTTATTACCATCAGTATTTTAATTATAAAGATATTATTTTATTCAGAAATTTGAAGAGAATAATATTAAAATGGAGAAAACATGTAATTTAAAATGATATTTTTAGTTTGTGTTTGGTTTTGCAGTAGCGTTGTAGCAAAGGCAGGGGGTTTGGGTCAGAAGACGAGAGTTCCTAAGAGCGTAATGAAGGGGGAGGAGCTGCTGGGATTCTTACAGCTCCCGAAGAGGCAGCACAAGCAGAAGCAGAAGCAAGTGCATTGAATCAGGGGATTTGCGTCTTCGCCTTTTCAGGTTTGGGGAAACCGCACTCCTCTGTTTCACCCCATTACCACCGTACAGGTGTCCCCCTACTCCGGCGCCACAGAATTTTCGTGTTCCCACGTTCTCTCTTTCACATTCCCACTTCCATCAATACCGACTCTGTTTGCTATCTCAATTTTATAAGTATGTTTTATATAAATTAAGATAAAATTTTTTTACATATTTATTTTAATTCCGTAAATCATAATTAAAAAACTATTTATAAACTATCCCCATAATCTATTCCCTTGTCTCTTCTCCTCCCTCCACACCCCCTGCGCCCCGGCTTCAATTTATAAATGCGAAGATTAAATTCCTTTTAAAAGACTTATTTATATTTATTTTTCTAATCTAGTTCCTTTATAAAATAAACCTGTAAGGGTATTCAACTATATCCTGTCCTAATATCTTGTCCCTGTAGGACAAGGATGTCTGTCCCAATATTTTTTTGTGTGTCTATAGATTCATTTTATTTGTCACCATAATAGTATCATGATAATAATAATATATCTCTGGTCAAAAAAAAAATCATGATAATAATATATATTTACCAATCATTATTTCAATTATTTGTTTATAAAGTATTCTGTATGAGTTATATGATATTCTTTGTAATAAACATTTTAAGTTTGTTTTTCCCCAATATTACAAAAAACATTATTTGTCAATTTTAATTACTACCAACTTTTCCTAATTTTTATCTATGCATAATTTTGTTATGACTTTTTATACTTGATATGTAGTTTAAATTTTTAAATTAAAAAAGAGATAAGACATTCTTATCCTGTCCTGACTATGTCCCTTTCTTACAGGAATAAATACTACTAGGACAAACAAGACGAGACACGGGACAAAAAAAACTGTCATGTCCCAAATATCAGGACAGAGTTGTCCGTGTCTCGTCCCGTCTCATGAACGCTTTTAGAATTTATCAAATCTCCTTTAAAATAAACGGCTTGAAATCTAGAAAATTGTACGCTCTGCCCTCATTCCCACATAAAGACGTTGAAAATGTCACACATTTTCCTCCGAGTCACAAAGATTGGGTGCTGCAACTCCATTAGGATTTCATTCTCATGGTCCTTATCGTTAACTCCTTGTATGATCGCCACTAGGGATTTTTTTTGCATTGCTTAGCTTTATCGTTTTTCAATAGGCCAATGAAGAAAAACAGTCAAATACAAAATAGAGACTTAAAGATCTTTATTCGATCAGTTACTACTATTTAGATTCTATTATAATCATGCAAGCATCTAGGTTATTCAGCACTTTTTATTAATTTGCGTGCATATTTCAAGCCCAAAGGAGGGGGGATGTTAGCAAGAATTTAATACAGTGGCCAGAAGAAGGATAATTCCCAACTAGAGAACTAGAATACTAACTACAGTGAACAACAAATATAAATAAAATCCATATATATAGCTTGTTTATGCTCAATAATAAATTACAAATACATATAAGTGGCGTTAATTAATATTAATATGCTACCACGCATCATGTCCGAAATGCGGAACATCTTGAGTAGGAAATTGGCAAGGTTTTGATGGGATGGCAAGATACGAGGAGGAAGATGCAGTGGACATTGCCACAGGAAATCCTATCCCTGGAGGCTTCCGGCCTGCAGCCCGTTCCAATGACTGAACCTGAGACTTGAGAAATTTCACATAGTGAATGGCTTCATCTAGCATGGAAGCTGTGTCCATCTTCGTCCCTCCCGGAACCAGTCTCTGCAGTATCCTTATCCTCTCGCTGATCCTCTCTCTACGGTGGCGAGCCGCCACACTCTGAGGATCCTTTGAGATCTTCACGTTCCTTCGCTTTGGTGGCTTCACTGACTCGGGGTCTATGTGTATCGGCTGCATCACCGCTATCCTGAATATCATCTCCCTCATCGCCGCCATCGACATCCCTTTCTCCGATGCTCTACTGCACCCGTTTCCTCCGCACGGTGGCGGATCTCGCTCTTGGTGAAGCGTCGGAGTAGGGTTAGTAAAGGAAATTGTAGCAGACTGTAAACTATTGAAGGAGGACGACGATGTCACGGGAGAGTTGTCCAAAAAATGTAGCATAGTTCCGTGTATGTCGGTGTCCGTCCTAGCAGCCACCGGGGAGAGCTCAGGCAGTGCAAAGTCATCGGAAACAACGTCGTGGTAGGCTCCAGAGAATTCAGGAAGGTGCATCATCATCGTCATCGTGTCCATCTGATCGTACTGGTCCGAAGTGGATGACTCCAACAGGTCCTTACTGTTCATTTACGTGTTAAATATGGTTTAACCCCACCGCTAAGAGGGAAGAAAAAAATTGAAGTGGATGGAGAAGAGGCGGGAGAAGACAGGTGAGGTTAAAATGGGATCAGAAACAGAGGTGAGAAAGTAATTGATAGGATGGAGAGGTATTTAAGGTGGCGTGACTGAGAAGAACTGGGGAAATCAGAAGACGAACAGAGAGATGGGAAAGATGAAAGAGAAGAGCAGTGAAGTGGTAGTTTAATGGCAGAATGTGCAGGAAGGCTTAGACTCATATGATAAAGAAGGAACTATAAGGATACTGAAAAAAATCGATTTGGTGGTGATGTCCAGAACGGAATGGCAAAGAATCAATATCTCAGGGGAGGGGCTACTGTGTCTTATATATAAAAAGCGGTTCAAGCACAAATATTATTTAATTATAATTTATTATAATTATAGAGGCAGGCCTTCTTTATTCCTTCGCAATGGATGCTGCTTTTCTTGAAATGTTAATGTTTCAGACTTCCTAATTTGGAAAGAATACACTTTTGAGAATAGGGAGAAAAAAAATCAGTGGGTAATAAATTACTTTTCTCTCCGGTTCTAATATCTCCCTCTTGTCGTTATTATAAGATCACATGTAGAAAATTCTTTTATGCTTTTTATAAGATCCTATAATATTTTGAATGGGTATTAAATATCTTTTCATATATACCCATGTTTAATAAGGCGATTGTGAGAGTAAAAAATTAATATAATGTTAGAATTTAGTGTGATTAATGACGGTAATATTAGAAATATCACTTGAATTATATGACAAATTTAATGTTTTTAGCTGTTTTTATTGGCATGTGTGAATTAGTTGGTTGCTCTTATAACAAGTATCAGAATGAATATATGATAAGGTTTTAAAGCATTATTTGATCATTAAATATCAACAGAGATGCGTTATTTTAGTGAAGAGCAGATTTTTTTTAAGAAAAAAAAATTGACAGTTTAAAAATATTGAATTGTAAAATTAGTTAACTTTGGTTTTATAAATAAAACCAAAGGAAATACGTCAAAAGGCGTTAGCTAGGGCGGGCGCCATATGAGCCATTGAATTTGAAGGACATATCTTTAGTGATAAGAGGGCATCATGAGGAAGATCTATTTGTCCAAGAATATATTACACGAGAGGAGCAACGCTCGGCGCAAGTGATAGGCCTCCATACATATAAAACTAAATCTTGACCTAATTAGAATAATCAAACTGATGGATAATGAAATGTACGGGAGTCAACGGATGAATAGAAAAATGCGTGTAAGTGGGGAGCTGAAGCCTAATAACGCTTAAGAGCACGCCACCCCTGATTAGCCCTTAAACAACACCCAGTTCCTTTGAAAGACAGGAGGAGGAGGGACCCACAGGTGTCAGGAATCTCAGCATGCCCATTTAGTCGAATAAATTAATTTGTTTGAAGGATTTATATGTGTTTTAGATGGAAAGGAGGAGGGAAGGGGGGAGAGAGCGTGAGGATTGAATGGGGTTGGGATGATGGAAGTGAGAGGCAAACCAATGAGAAGGCGAGGCAAGTAGTAGAAGTGATTATCACCATCGATGAATGAGTGAGATCATATGATGCCTCATGGGGCGCAGCCACAGGCGGACGAATTCGGATTCGGATTGTAATATCAGTCTAAACAAAAAAGAAAAAGAAAGAGCAGAGAAATGAATGAAAAGGGAACGCTATTCGAGAAGGATCAGGTTCTGACTTGTGATGCAAGCTGCTTCATGTGCCCGTTTTGTTAACGAACTTACCCCACCGCTCTGTTTCACGCCCAACCACCCCCTCTGGATCGTTATATACAAGTTTTATGAGTTAATTCCGTCAAATATTAGGGATTTACAAGTTCCTTTGACTAACAAAAAGATGCGAGCTCTAAACTTGACGAAATTATATCCCAGTGCCTATATATGTATATAGCGTAACAAGAAACTACATTAAAAATATGTTCACCATGTATACACGAGTTTGTTTCACAAATCTTCGATGCTCGTCGTATGAAATTAAAGCCCGATTGACAAGTCATGTTTCAATAATATAATCAAACGACAAACTTTATTACTAAAGCTCCGATCCCTAGAATTATTTATACAGATAAATTATGTAACATATACAAGTATTGAAATATTGAATGATTGCATGAGAATTGAAATCATATATTGGCATCGGCAAAGGGTGGGCCAAGAGTGTGGAGGCGACAGGGCACATTATAATGTGAAGTTAGCAGACGTTGATAAGGTGAGGGGCCAACTTAATGCGGTGTTGCCATCGTCCCGCCGGGGAGCGACACGCTTCTGTTTGCTACGAAACACGTATGCGGTGCTATGCTAGCTATGATTGGCTGGCCACCAATAACTCGTATATTCGGATTATTGCTTTTGTGGCACATTCCATAGTATAATATTTCATGCTCATTATAATTCTCTGCTGACGTTTCCAGAAACTTATTATGAGCAAATATATATGCGTACTGCCTTCGCTTCCACGGATTACGCAGCTTATCTGTGATTACGGAGGAAAGCATCAGAGGAATTATATATATATATATTAATTGGAGATCGGTCTGATATTTCTTGTTCTGAAACCTCCATGCAAAATTAAACCCACCCATCCTCATCACTTCAAAGTTTGGTCCACAGCCTCGACTGACGACAGCATTATCTCTCTCAGCTCTCTGTGGTATTATTTAATGTGGAACCAATTAATCCCCAATACACAGAATAAAATAAGGTGGTCATGCATATATTTAAATGAAGTGTGGGGGCCAAAGAGGCTGGTCTGGTGGATGAAGAATCCAAAGGAGAGAGATCTTGCTGGTGATATAGCCTATATTTACTCCGCATTATCACCTTATCGTCTTATCTTCTCTTCCCCACATCCCAGTTGTTTTTACATTCATGACGCTGATACGATTCTACCTGCAGCGACCCTTGTTATTGGTTATTATTATAAGGATGCCAAACAAACTGATAGTATAAAATAAGATTGGTGTTGTGTAAATTGGATATATCTGCCACATTTGGTGCTATCGGGAAACGCGAGGGTAGGTTTAGGGCAGAATAGAAAGCATTAATTTAATAGCGAGGGCGAGCGAATGAGATGGTCCCGGCTCTGTTGCGTGCCTGTCTCTGCATGCACAAATTTCATCAATCTTCCAAGTTAAATCATTTTCCAATTGCCCTATTCTGCATCTTATACTGCCACAATCCAACCACTTGTTTGGATTGAACATTCTATAACTTCCTTTTCACAGCACGCTTTTCCCGGGACAAGAAAATAGAGAAACAGTGGCGCGAAACCGCTCCATTGGGCAATTTTCTCCACTTTCCGTCACTAACTCAAAACAAGGTCGTTTCTTTCTTTCCACCAATCAGCTTCTTGTATTTCCCCCAGCTTAATGCAGTAAACAGGTTTTATTGGGTTCTGATTTTATTTTAAATAAAAGCAAAAATACTCAATCAAACATTTGAAAGAACCCAAAAAAAAAAAAAGAGGTTTCTCATTACAGTGACGCTATGTCCTCCATTACCCAAACACTATGCAAGCTTCCTCCATTACCCAAAACACAAGCTTCCTTTGCGATTGACTAGCATTGTCTTGGAAACTACTAGATGCTGTAAAAGTTAGTGGACTTTCAGTTTGAACCTCAACAAAAAGAATCGGAAAGGGGTGAGTCTTCGAAGGTTTGTCGTCCAAACACCCTTTTTTTTCCCAAACAGTTGATTGAGGCTTTTTTTTTTTCCCTTTTCAAAATGGCATCGCATTACTTCTTAAATTATATAAAACACTGCATTTTATCTGAATGGAGGCTAAATGGAGAGGTTCCGCACTGAGAGAAACAGTGTGTGGTGATATTATTATGTTGCTGATTTTCGCATAGATGACAGCGTTACTTTAGAGTGGAATAAGAATTCATTGGGCGCCTGATGTTTGGGGTCATACTAATGTCATAATGAGACACTCCTCCGGTTCTAAATATAAAACCTTTATACGCACTAGTATAAGGGTCTTATATTTAAGACCGGAGGAGTATAAAATATTCTAGTCTCTCTACTAAATTAAAACATAAAAAATATTGGTTATAAAGATATAATAAATATTATATTTTTCTTTGCTTTCGTAGTTTTGTTTTTCTTGTTTCTTTCAGGCTTTGAGCCGCAATTAATCAGAACGAATATAATAAATCTTATTCAAATTATTCAAATTTCTGAAATTCCAGTTTTTACAATTTTCCCGTCGGCCACCTGGCGCATGATGCTTCGTATTGTTCGAAATTTCAAAACCAAAGAGAAAACCAGAAGCAGGCCAGAAATACTAGTTTTGTCTAAAATTCTGATGCACTAACTCTTAAAAGAGAACTAGGCCCAAAAAGACGCTTATAAAGATATAAGAAAGAGACCGCGCCAGAGCTGGTTAATACGGCCCAAGTGTTGACGATCACTGATTGGGCCGAGTGGATATAAGGCCTGGTATTTTACCCCGGGTTTGCTTTGAATTGACCCGCAATACTTTGACGTTTATGATATTGTTTTGTTAAAGAGAAAGGAGAATAAAGATCCGGGGGGTAAAACATGAAAAGGCAATTAATAACAAAGTGGAAAATTTTTTTAAAAAAAAAGGGAAGGAAGAAAAAAAAGAAAAAGGAGGATAGAGCAGAGAAGAGGGGTATTTACAGTTTAATTACGACTTTACAATCCACAAGTCATCTTTTGTCTACCTTTTGTCTAATGCTCTGTGGAGACCTCAGTGGTTGCATAAGGCTGTTCAAAGAATAAAGCCTCTTTGCCATTTGATCCGTATCCACTTTTTAAACCCGTCCCATTTTCAAACCAAAACTATCTCACCCGCCCGCATGCCCACCTACCTGCTGCACTTGCCGTGCCTGTCACGTGCCAATCCTTTCCCAAAAGACAAAAGCCCATGAAGGACACACAATTCGAAATCTAGTGCTATTGGGTTTTCTATCTTTTCTCTCCTCAAGCTTTTTGAGCGTATGAGACGAAGTTATATTATTGCATTGCACGACAAAGATATTCAACCTTTTTATTCTTTAATATTCGCCGTTATCTTTATCTTTATTCCCTTGTCTGCTATATCTCTCTCTCTCTCTCTTCACCGCAGACCCCTAGATATATCTTTCTTAGCTTGCTTTCTCTCGTACAGTTTCTCTGCTTCACATTTTAATAATGCTCCCTATGAATGGTTAAACAACCTAAGTGAGAGGCCAGGAAAGGCAAGAACATGTGAAAATGCTCACTCAAACTTTCTCTTAGATAACTTTCCCCGTATATATATGGAAGTGCTGTGTGTGGGTGTTACTAGAAATTATAATATATATATATATATATATTATGACTCGATATCCACAGTGGTGAGTCATCCGGGGGTTCTGAGTGCCAGATATATAGAAAATGGAAGAATACGCAGAGGACTCAAGGAGAGCGTGAGCTAGAGAGAGTAGCGTAAACGCTAATCCGATGACTACTTAAAGTGGGAAAAGGCAAAGGTTTCTAGTTCCTCAGAAGAAGTATAGAAGCCTCGACAGATACGCGTCGAACAACGTTTTAAAGTTGGTCTTCCTTACATTTCGCTTTCATCGAATTATTCAATTCCTTGTTTTCCTGTTCTTTAACCGTATTTTCATTTTTATATTCCCTTCCTTACATCTCCATCTGTAGTCTTCCATTTCGTTCTTTTTGGAAGACTCCCTTACTTACTTTTCAGTCCTCCTCCCAATTTATTCTGAAAAAAAAAAAAAGGAAATCTACAACTCTCGATGAGATAATCAAGCGGCCGATATGATGGCTTTCTTTTTCCGTAAATTATTATTAAATTATAATTAAATGGTAATAATAGCAATAATAAGCAGAATCATGTAAAGCTAATTATGGAATTGTTCAGGAACGAATATATGTCATTCGGTGTCAGCTCGATCCGTGGATCTTTTGTGATATCACTCGTCTTTTATCGGTTTTTGAATTGAAATGCAAGGCGTTGCTAGAATGCTAGCTCGTACGTTTTAACATGGGGCTAGGTAGAGAAAGCCCCAGAGAAATTAGTGTTTAGGCCAGCCTGTTGCGTTTTCAGTTCTCAGCTTTTACCCAATAGAACTGTGAGGAACCCCTTTTTCTCATTGACTCTTTTTTCCTCTCACTCTCTATCGCTGCCATTAATGCAACTGAAACATGCAGAGATCATAATCAGAAACAGATGGAGTTGAACAGGAGGAAGAAAAATAATACCATAATAATGCACAGCAGTAAATTGCGCCAGTGAAAAGAAAGAAAACTCAACAAGAATCCAGAAAGAGAAGATGAACATTTAAAGTTTTGCTTTTAATTTGGCCTTCACTCTACCCAAAACCTGCCTCCATCAATGGATGATATGTGGGGAACAAAGATAATATTTGGTGCCATATGTACACGGAATCACAAAACAGCATTGACACGCACGCACGCGCACACTCAAGTTTCCATCAATATCATTCTCCTTCACTGAGACTTAGGATCAAGGAGGAAGAAGAAGAAAAAATGAAAAAAAAGAAAAGAAGAAACAAACAAATGAGAGGAAGAAATTAAGCGGGGAAAAAAAGTGGTATATCTAATAAGAATTCTAACATGCCGAAGGTGGCATGAGATTCAAGGCCAGGTCATCATCTTTTTCCAAGACCAGTCGAGCCTTGTTCATTTCGGAATTGGCAGGAGTAATAGAATGAGAGTCAGGATGCGCCCTTTTCTTGGATTGAAGAGACACGCCAAAAAGCTTGGTATTGCTGCAGGGTTCTTCCACAATGGAGACGGAACTTCTTGACGTGAAGGTCGCGGGAGATCTCACAAAACGAGATACTTGAGGAGTAGTTTGCTTTGAGCTAGCAGATGTAGAATAATACCCCAGAAGCTGATTCATTTGCCTTTGCACCATGGAAACGTTTGTAGCTGCAGGAGGCATAGATGGTGAGCATGTATTGGGTAGGAGCAGAGAGGGAGAGAAAGAGTTGCTTGGAGCCACGGGCTTGACATGATTCTGGACGAAATAGATGATGTCGTTATAGAGTTTTTTCAAGTGGGCCAGCTCAGACATGAGCATGTTGTTGCTTCTTCTCAGTCTTTCGTTGTCCTCGGACAGCGTCACCATGCCGGTGCCGCCGCTTGGAGAAGTGAGCGGTGGCGAGTCACACCAATGGGGCGGTTGGTCATCGGAATCGTTGGACGGAGACAAGCTGATTCTGGTGGTTGAGAAGGGAAAGAAAGTAGGAACGTTGAGTCCCAACGGAAGTGGCGGGTGAGGAGGATGATGATTAACGGGGACATGCTGGTGAAGTTGAGCCGTCTTTCTTCTGTGGATCTCGCAGAGTAAATGCTTCTCTCCCTTCCTAAAAAACTCGTTCGCGAACTCCCATCTGTCCGGCACGATCTTCCTAAAACCCTAGTTCATTAAAAAAAAAAAATTCAAGTTAGAGAGGGAATTAACCAGAAAAGGAAGAGGGTGAGGGGTGAGTTGCGGGAAGCATACGTAAGTGTTAAGCTGGCGAACGAAGCTGGAGAAATTATTGTGCTTGAAGTAGTTGGGGAGGAGATCCCTGGCGAACTCAGGAGGACGCCAAACGACGAAGGTGGTGTCGTCTTCGCCCCAAGACACAATGTGATCGGTGGTGGGATCATCCACCAGCTGGTATGTCTTGGTGAGGAAAGGAGCCGGCACCGATTTGTGCGAGTCTAATGACAGTAAAATGCTCTCACAATTGTCCAACAACATAGCCATCGAACACAGCAGGTTGGAAAAATCAGGACGGAACTGGAGGAGCTATAAGGTGTCAACTGAGAGAAAGGAAGGAGGACGAAGCGGTTAGCGAAGGATGCGAATGATGGAGGTGGATAAAAATGTCGAGGAGAGAGAGGAATAGAAGTAGTAGTACTGCTTCTACTGTGTAATGCGGTAATTTGGTTATGTCTTTGCTCTTTTTGTGTTGGTTTGGGTGGGTGAAGATGAAGGAGGAGGAGGGAATTGTCGGGTAGGAGGGGTATTATAAATTTGTTTCCCTCCTCGGTTATGCAGTAAGTAGGGTGAGGGGGAATATGTGTCTGTCTGTCTGTCTAGGACTGTGAAATAAGGGCCTCTCAATACAAACCCGTGACTAGCTCTCTCTTTCTACGTGTGTGTGATTCACTGAGCCCTCCTGACATTGATCCGCCCCGCTCTCACCCCTCTTTAAAATCCCGCACACCTCCAAGCAGCTGATGAGCTCCATGCGAATTGACCATTGCATCCTCCTCCCTCCCCCACCTCCCTTTTTCCTTTTCCTTTTTCTTCTTTATTTACTCCAAACTGCACACTAGTCAAACCCCTTCATAAACCCCTAAAAGAGGGGCCTCTTTTCTGCCCCCGTGTTCTTATTCTATAGCCTATGCGCATTACTTGGTGGAATCTAGCTTTGGTTAATTAATGGATACATTAAATACGGCGTTAAGGATGTTTGCCAAGGTGAAGGAAACCTCGTTAGAAGGGTATTCCGGCGAAATACACAGGTTTATTAATTAGGTATTTGTCATTTCTCCCCTGCGGACAGAACTAAATAGTACTGTAGAGTGATGTTAGAAGTAACCAGAGAGAGAGAGAGAGAGAGAGAGAGAGAGAGAGGAAGGAAGGATGGGGGCTTGGCTAACTTCACGTCAAACCAGTGTTCTTTTTCAGTTTGTAGTTTTCCTTTTGTTGTTTAAAGTCACCAACCAAACACAGTCTCCGATTTCGAATCCTTATCATTTTCCCCCCCTGCTGCTCTAGAAGAGTTACAAGGCAAAGCACACATCGTATAGCGTGATGGAAATTAAAGACTGTTGAGGGTGACGACATTTCTTCCTTCCATTGCTTCTCTTCTTCCATCTGCTTCGCTCTGACCCTTTCCTACTCTTGTTTACCACCTTTTTTTTAATATATTTGTTTTATGTCCTTTTGGCAGATACATACATCTCAAACTTCAATGACATGTGGGCTACAGACTAGTCTCTGACTGCTAGCTATGTACCCTTTTGTTACATTGTAGATAGATGGCCCTCTTCAGCTCTCCTTTGCTTTTTATTCCTAGTTTGATTCTTCTGCTAGCTCTTCCCCAGGTGATTAATTCTTGAATTATTGACCTCAAAAGTTTTTACAGCTTTTCCACTTCCATTAAAACCTCCTGTACAAGTCCAGTTAAATATTCGAGAAAATGTGTATCACCAAAAGGAAACATAAATACCAGAATTTATATAAGCACACTTGTGAACAATATGAGAATATTAAAGTGGACAGAAAACCTCAACCAGAGTTGAGTTTGCGTGTATTCGGTTACGTCGTTAAAACTCGTCTTTTCAATGGGAATTCATGTTCGCTTTTTCCCGTCGAAAGATTGGCTCAAACAGTTTCTTTTGGTACATTCCATCGAAATGAGTGAGGCGTCGTATATTTTGATCTTGTGATAGTAAGTGAAAGGAAAAGAGTAGGGACAGAGAAGCAGATAGAGGGCCAAAGCAAAGCAATAGGAAAATGATGAGTAATTATTTCGGACAGATACCATAACTGATTATTTTGATAATGTGTATCATTCTCTATATTGGAAAAGCAATGCTCAACTGTCCCAGCTCCCCACTCCCAGATCATTATTCCTCGCTTTGCAATTTTCTTTGCCTTTCTCGGATTCAATGTGCATATAATTAAATCCCCATAAATAATAATAATATCTCCATAGTTTTTCAAACCTAAGTTTAGCTTCTGAGAGAAGCCATTCTTTCTGGCCCCCCTCCCCCCTACAAAAAAAAAAAAAGGTTTGTGGACACATTTTAAAGCTTACTCATTACTTCACAGCTAGCATTAACCCACCCAGCAGGCCAGCATGTTGAGTTAGAATTTGTCCCTACTCATTCATATGTGTACTTTTAGAGCTACTACATTTACTGTCAGAACTAAATTTGACTTCATTATAAAATGTTGCTCAGTAATTATACTGCTACTGACAAGTAAACATTAATTGAAACTGAACACAATTATTGCAAAATATACATAATGAGACAGTACTTCATTCGTTGACCCGTAATATTGTGACCCGGTGCTCCTAAGAGTCTTACAATATTCTTGGTTAAAACTCTATTTCTGATTTTTACTTTTAGCTACCTAGGTCGGAGAAAAATTTATTGCGTTTGCATGCATGAGCTATATACATTATTTTGATTAGATGTGGATCGGAAATATCACAAAAACGAAGAAACAGCTAGACAGGAATTATACTGGCAACTTCAAGTCCCGATAATTAACTAAAAATGGGAATGGATGGGTTCTTTCCTTAGCCTAGTCTAGCGTCTAGCATGACCTGTGAAGAAGAAGAAGGAGAAGAAGAAGGGTAAAAAGGACCGAAGTGATAATTGATAATTATGTTGTGGCAAGGAAAACAATGATGCCCTCTTAGTTTTATCTTTGGTCTTGCTTCTTCTTCTTCTTCTAGTTCCCCCCATTCGCAGCTCAATCTCTCACTGACCCTTTTGCTGAACCGTCGCAGCGACTGACATGGAGACAGTACGTAGTCCCTTTTAATGTTGAGGACCCCTGTGAGTGCATTCCTAGCCTCGTGATTCTTTTCTTGTTTTTATTCTGTTGAGAACAAACATTTATTACCACCACCTATTCCCCATTCCCCACCTTCATGTTACTTGCATATTTTTGGAAAACCCATCTCTTTATCACCCTATTTCACCATACTTTTCTACTTTCCAAGCATCAGTTTTGAGACTGAGGCAAATTTTTACTTGGTTCCCAAGTTTTGACAGCAGTCATTATTTCCCAAGATTCAAACTTGGTCATAAACTGGTGTTCCAGAAAATTTGGCCAGTTGGTTGGCTTTACCAGATGACGGGATCACATTAGTCTTAGACCTAATTATGTGATTATCAATGGATGAAAAAGCTGGGATTAGGTGGGTCCATCAGATATAGGGTAGGGTCCTTTATTTTCTGTAGGTGATTGGTAAGAGAAGCGCTCGAGGAGAAAGACAGAAAAAGAAGGGTAATTTGGCAGTTAATGGATGCACAGTTGCACATACAGACATTAATTTATTCATTTTATGTTCTTCTGATTCTGATAATTGAAAAGATAAGGATATGCTTGTGTGAAAGAAATGAGAGAGAGAGAGCCCACAGAGAAAAGGAAATCTAGAAAATGAAGGAGGGGTTATTTCCTTCACAAGTTGTCAGCAACTGAGACAGATCCTAGCGAGCCCACCAGCATTAGTGAAATTCACTTCTCACCCACCAAAAGCACACTCAAACACACTCTCTACTCTTGTTCAAGAGCCAAGAAGATTCTATTCTAATTTCTATAACATTGCCCAAAGTGAGACCAACCCCACTATCTTCCTATCACGTGACCACCGCCAACTTTTCAAATAAAATCACCCTTCATATTATTGCTCTATCACAACCTCCACATACTAATTAACCGCAAAACATTAATAATTGCTTCTCCATTAACACACACATTCTTTTCTAATGATTAATCCTTCCCAACCGAAAGAATCAAAATGTTAAAAGCTATATGCATGCCATTCGCCAAAGATCTTGTTCAAACTAATGTCTATAAAATTGAAATTTTCACAGATCACAATCTCCAAAGTAAAATTCGGATAAAAATCAGTTAATGTGACATAATTTATGTTTCAATACTCTTCCATAAAAAACGAGTTTAACGTATTAGAACTTGTAATGCGTAACTTGAAGAAAAATCTTAAATTTAAATTTGACAATTAATTATAAAAAATAAAAAGAAGTAAATATATTGTAAATACTGAAAAAATTATTTATTTGCTATGTACGATATAAACTAGATGTATTTAATAAACAAAAACATATACTGATCACAAACAATAAAATTTACACTAGTTTTTGTTATTCGGCAATAATAATCTGAATACACCCAGCAAGCTTTTTGGAGCTTCGGTTTTGAGCTTGCAAATGCAAATAGGCACAAAGTTAGCAAGGTTGTTATCTTCTGTCTGTTTCCTCCATAAAAAACAAGTCACTGGTCTCTTCTGGAGTGGAGCATGGGACAGATGGATATGGCGGGGGAAACAGAGTTGAGTTAAAGTGTTTTAATGGCAACATATTAATAGTATTAATTAAACAGAAGGTCACGAGGGCCTATATGGCAGGAGGAATTGGCTCTCTGATATGTGTAATAAAGGACCGGACAAGACGCTCCTTTAATTTGTCTTTCTACAGCTCTTCAAATTATATAGTGCCACACGAGCTCTCTTGTCCTCTCATCTGTACTCATACAAGATTATTTAAACAGTTTAAATGTAAATGTAATGACGAAGAATTTGAATTCTAATTTAGTCGTAATAAAAACTAGAATGTAGGAGTAATTGCAGCTAGTCTTTAAATATATAATTTAGTGCGTGATGTTCATTTATTAAATATTATTGAAGTAACGTGTTTACGCAAAAAGTTCCCAGCCATCACGTCCTTCATGGATCCCATACTTCTTTCCCATCACATTATTATTGTACCCACTAACTATTAAGATTCTTTTGACAACTTCTATAGATTTATTGGATAATTAATGTAATGCATTTTCTTTTGCCCATCAAATTTTGTGAAGTTATTGCAGATTCTGATTTCAGCGTTCCCAATAACTGACGTCCGTTCCATTCCATCAAATCAATTCTGAGAACATTTCAAATATTTGCATTGATCTATATCTCGTCCATTCAAATGGACTAACCAGCCAGTTGGAAATATTTTAGACAACATATATGCTGAGCTGATCTACAGTAATTCCAACAGGTTTAATTTTCATTTTGAAAGGGCCCAAGAAAAAACCAACGGTTTAGTATTTATTTGTATCATTTATCTTACAGATAATATGTCTTAGACTTTTTTTTTAACTCACATAATAAACTGTTAAAAACGCGTTCATGATTTCTGAAAATGAACCCCTCATGTTACGTTGTAGTGCAGCAAATATCTAAACGAATTAAGGAGGTATTTGGATAGCATGAGAAGTGTTTTTGAAAAACACTTTTTCCTAAATCAAGATAAA